TGGTGTCTGACCATCAAACACCTGCTATCATTCATCAAAACACGTCCAGCAGCCACACAGGATGCTGCTTTGCTTCACCCTCTCATAGTGCTCAGGTAACCACAACCTCTCCATTTTCCCGCTGAGGAGACAGGCCCAGAGGGGCTGTTACCTGCCAAAGCCTCGGGCTGAGCAGGAGGCCAGGCCACCTGCTGCTGCCCCTCCCTCCTGGCCTCCCCTGCATCTACCCACCCACTGCGCAGAGTTCCTCCTGCGTCCTAAAGGCAGCAGCTTCCAGACACAGCTCACTCCACAGCCAGAGGCAGTGGGGACAGCAGAGGGCCCTGGGGGAAAGGAGCTGAGAGCAGGGCACCCGGCTCAGGCTCAGGGAGCCTGGGACACCTCTGTTTCAGCCTCTAGAGGGGGGTGTCCTGTGTGCTTCTCTGCTCCCCTTCTGAGGCAGGCTCCCCTCCCCTGGGGCGCTAACCAGTGACTCTCTGCCCCCTAACCAACCTGCGACCGCTACCCACAGAGCCGGGGCATGGTGGGGAACGGAGGCCCCATCTACCAAGGTGTCTGCAAGCCCACTTTAATTCAGCCGCGAGTGTGAACGCAAGTTTGGCGATCCACGTAATTTGATCAGCGCCTCAAACGAACTCTACACAGATGATCCTTTGACCTCCTCTTTCCAAAGGAAGAAACTGAGGCTCGGAGGAATGAAGGGACCTGCCAAGGCGACACAGCCATGCGGGCCGGGGCCAGGCCACAAACACCGGCACGCTGACTCCAGACCCTGCCAGACTCTGGCGCACCTGCCAACCAACGCAGAACCCGAGCACAATCAACGCCAGCAGCACGTCACCCTTGGCGACCCAGAAGGCCCCTGGCACCGTCCCCGCCTCCTGGACATCATCACGACCCTCAGCAATCACTGGGTCAGCCTCTGCTCTAGGGCTGCACTGTCCAGTCCAGGAGCCATCACCACAGGAGGCCCCTTGAGATTTCAATCTGGACTAAGTTAAAAACCAGCTCCTAGGACTCACGGCCACACACCTCTCGAGTGCGGCCCGCCCCGAGGCTGGGGTGCTGCACTGGCCAGTGCAGGCCAAGACGGGCCCCAGCACTGCAGGACGTTCCTGTGCACAGAGTTCCTGTCAGATATTAGGTTTACGCTGATCACACGTTTCCTTTCTTTACTCAAACTCGGCTGCCAAAATTGTTTCTATGCAATTTGTCTCTTTTTCAGAGGAGGACCGTGAAGCATGTGAAAAAGCACAATTCTGGCACTGGGCTCTGGTGACTTCTGCATTCCCGTGAGTGGGGAGTGAGAAGGGCGTGTGCCGGGAGGCCCGTCTCTGCAACGTACCTAAGTGGCATCGGATGCGGATGTTGGTGGGTCCGTAGTGCTCCGTTATCACAGTCCCGGGGCTCAGCACGGAGATGCAGGCGTTCCCAAAAACATTGTTCCCAATACAGGTCCGAAGGCTTCCGAGCAAGCGGTACGTCCGTGGGCACTTCCTGCAGTTCCTGGGAACGCAAACCCCCTGATTGACCAAGTAGAAGGTGACCCACTCCCCGCTTGGGGTGCTGTTCATTTTCCACCCTTGCGGCAGGCTGCAGTTTGAGAAAGCTTTGTAGAGGGTCTCGAACTCGCACAGGATGGTCTGGAAGTTACGTTCCAGCAACTCCACGTCGTGCTTCTGTGCGTCCCGGGAGAAGTACGGCGCGGTAGGGAGGTCGGGCAGGAAGAAGACCTCGGGCTTCTGGATGGAGGGCCGGCTGCTGAGGTAGCGGCCCTGCTCGCGGATGCCCTTGTGGATGCGGCCCATGCCGGCCCAGGAGTACCGCTTGGCGTACTCCTGCAGGTTGTGGTAGAGTTTCTGGTTGAGGCCCTCGTTGTGGGTGCAGCGCACGCACTCGGGGGACTGGCAGTACATGTACCCGTTCTGCAGCCCGCTGGTCTCGGTCGCCTGCATGAGGGCGTTGACGGAGACGTAGGCCCGGGGCTGCTCCCTGCCCACGTGGTAACAGTACCACACGAACAGGGCCAGCAGGCAGGCCACGGTGGCGACGGCGCCGCTGTCGCAGTCCCGCACGGACTGGATGCCGGCGGCGATGCAGTCCCTCAGGCCGTCCAGCGACCAGCTCCAGACCGCCGGCCACTCGAGCGACATCTTGGGGGGGTCTGCAGCTGGCGGTGCGAAGCAAGGTCAGTCAGTCAGGCCTCTGGGGTCCCCAGGGCACCCGCGTGGCGAGTCAGCGCGCAGGGCACGGCGTGGCTGGCACGGGGTGGCGGCATGGCTCTCGCTGGCCCTCAGGTCCTGCCAAGTTGGCGCTGCAGAGCTGCTGGACCCAGCCCCAGGCAAAAGTCCCTGCGGGTGGGGCAGGCAGAGGTGGTTTAGACCACTTGCCCGTGGGCTTGGTCAGTGTGGAATGAACTTTTGGGAAGTCCAAACCTGGGATGAAGAAAGAAAAAACCAGCATAAATTTTACTCCTGGACAAGCCATCTCTTGGGATGGAACGTCCATTTTGAAAGGTCCAGGTGGCTGGGTACACGCTCTTCAATCCTGTGTATTCTCCCCCATCTCACCACCACGCCCATTTCCCAGAAGGCCAGTAGTGGCCAGTGCCGAGGCCTGTCTGACCATGGCAATCTCTTCTGCTGTCCCGGGCAGGCGGTGCCATCTCGATTTTCGGGACACTGAGGCACAGCGAGGTCTGCGACTCACCCAAGCTCATGCCACCAGGGCAGGGTCACGAACCCCATCTGACTTCTGAACCTATCCATTTTGTGATACTTTCACAGTATGTATGTATCCACGCCTATTCTTAAATGTCTGTACCGTTAAGGGAACTGTGGATTCAAAAACATTTTAAAAATGGCAAAAGGGCCCTCCCTGGTGGCGCAGCGGGTTAAAGCACAGCACTAAGAAGCTTAAGCCACTTCCGCATGAGTTCGATTCCCGCCTGCCCTGGAGGAGATCCACATGGCGAGGCAGACCTCTCCTGACCCGCCCGCTGCTCCCCTCAGCAGTGTACTTCCTCGAGCTGCCTATTCTGCTCCCCACTCTGTCTCTGGTGAAGCCTCTGGCCTGTACCCCAGTTCTGTACGAATAAATAAATAAATCTTAAAAAAAAATGGCAAAAGAACTTTAAAATTACCCGTTCTCCATTTTGTTTTCTTTTTCATAGTACTTCATCATTCTGATTTCATTGCTCACCCTTCTGACGGGAATGGGTGGAGCTGGAAACAGAAAAAGGCTCTTGGGGTCACAGTGGGGGCAGACACGGGTCACTTCCTGTCTGCTGGTTCAGGACACTGCCTGCTGGCTGCGCCCATGGGGTTGTAAAAGTGAACGATGGGACAGAATGGCAACAGAAGCCCTGCCTGCCTCCAAAGCCACACATACCTCTTCAATGGTTAGGGCCAACACTCGGACCTGACTGTGCACCCAGCCTCTCCGTGTGAGTGAGCCTGGCTGTCGTGTTGTCTGGGTGGCTGCCACCAGGCTAGGTGTCCCTGGGGAAAGCCTTTGCCCATGCTGCTTTTTCTAATGCGATGACAACAGCCCAGTCTAAGATCTACTACAAGTCTAACACATTCCTCATCTTGAGAAACCGAATGGCTGGGAAAATTTCTTTTATACTCCACCCTCTCTCTTGGGAAAGAGAAGACAACTGAAAAAATGGAAGCTTGCACCCTCCCCTTTGTCCAAAGGTGGCTCCAACATTCCTGCAGTAGAACAGCGGTTAAGCATGCCCCACGAAGATGGACTGGACAGAGTTACCCTAATCTCTGCTGGGCCCTTTCCCTTCCCCAGCCTCAGTTTCCACACACCTAGGACGACTATCTGCTCATCTTGCCAGAGGAAGGGAACGGATGACAGGTGTATGGCTGTGAGGTCATGTCACAGGGAGCGTTCAGCAGGGGCTGGCCCCTGTGTGGCCTGTGGCCTCCCATCAGGACTGAGAACCCCAACAGCTAAGGCAAATCCCGACACTCCTGTTGCTTCACATTGCAAGTGATTTTTTTTTTTTTTTTGGTCCCAACTTGCAAAGCAAAACACGAAAGGAAAACCTTAGGTGCTCATTAACTGCCTACTTGCTTCTTCCCAGCTCAGGTTGAATTAAAAAAAAATCACTTGACTATAGTGCTTAGTAAGTCAAAAAACACACATGCTGAATATTCATGAAATTTTTTATGTTTCTAGGAAAAATACAAGAGTGGGGAGATTAGAAGCTAATTTTTTCCTCACACATTCTCCATTTCTTCACAGATTCAGAAGAGGGAAACGCTGAGCCCCACTGGATGGAAACAGATCCCTGAGGCCCCCCCCCTCGCCCCCCAGCTTTGCTCCTAGTCACGGAATTGGCAGCTGTTGTCTCTTGAGGAAGAAGGAAAAAATCCAGATGAAAGGTGCTGTGTTTGCAAGCTATCTCCCAAACAGAACCCGGGATTCCTGAAATTCAGTGTGAAACTATCATCATAGTGATAACAAGCACTTTTACTAAAAGGATTTCCCCCCATCACTGAGCTAAGCCCCTAATTGGAACTTACAAACTCAGTCTCTCAAGAGAAGGTTTTTCTTCAATGTTCTAAGGAAATGAAATGGTGATAATTTAACAAGCACCTTTTAAATCTGTTAAGTGTTAACTTCCATCAGTCCTGCTACTCACTGAAGTTTAAATCAATCAACATACAGACATGGAAAAGGTTAGATGATGGGGGGGCTCTCTCCATGGGTGTCTCTGCGCTTACCCCTCCTTGGGTAGCTCTGACCTGCACAATGCCAGCCACGGCTGGCCAAGTGAGCATAAACAAACGGCAGTAAAGACACCGATGACCTCAAACTCAGCTCCAGACCCTCCGCCCAAGGTCATAAACAGCGCTGAGGGCTAAGTTTGGAGTTCCGATACCTGTCCATTACTTTTAGCCAAAATATGCTGGCACGTTCCTGAGCCCAGGGGTGAACTAACAGGCTCACACAGTATTGCGATACAAAAAGAACCCCTTATGTTTGGAAGGGGCCTGACAGTTTATTAAGCACAGCTTCAAATATCTGACCCTCACAGCACCCAATGCCAACGCCCAGGATGCCAGAGAGGAGACCCGGCTATCTTTCTCAGTGACCACAGGAACTTCCAGGTTCCTCCACACATCTGTTCATTTTCACCGGCTTCATTTCTGTGCTCCCTGGGTGCCAGTTTGCACTTTAATAATAGGCAACTCTAGATCTTAGAGGTCAGTTAGCTCTGGGAATAAAGTCTAAGTTCTGTACCAGTTGGTCAAGTCCAATCAAAATACAACTCCTGACACTTCTGACACCTGGAGGGCAGACCCTTGGCTCTGATCTGCTTAGTCCAGTTCACACTACCAGTCTATGAGGCTAAGGAGCGAAGCCCCCAGGCCAGCTCTGGGGATCTGGAGACCTTCCCTCCTCACTTTCTCGGTCAGTTTTTTCAGGATCCATTCACTCTGGAGAGTGGGTGCTGAGGATGGGTTAACACACATGGTGACCACCAGGAGGTCAGCAGAGGGGTACGGCACGATAGAAAGCAGAGCACACTGACAGTTAAAGTGGGCGATCTGCTGAAGATCAGGGAAGCAGGTTTATGGTGACAACTCCTGAGCCCGGGGAGGAGGGTCACCACGGGAAATATGAGAAGTGGGTGATGCCAGGGCTGGGTGGAGGAAGAGAGTCACGGGGCTGGAGGCTGGTGGGGGTCGGTACCCTGAGCAGGGGCCGTGAAGGAGCAGGAGGGAGGCGGAGGGTGATGCCCCAGCGGAGCCCCGAGCACGGCCGAGGCGGCGGCGCCCGGCACGTAGCGAGCGCTCGCGGCGGGGCC